AAGGCAAATGGAGAGTATCACAGTTATATAACTTTTTAGGGGCTAACAAATATAATATTGTAGCATTAAGCATTAATTGACCTTAATACTTTTCAAAGCTTATAAAATCAGTATAATTTATATCAACAGAGTTTTACACAAATGAGTTGCCAAAATAGATAAAAGAATATTATTATCGTTGCAAATTAAAATATTTATACTCGTATTGATAGAATCAGAAGTATAGATAAGGCTGTCAAATCTGCGGGCTCTGTTATGAGATCAGACCAAGCGATAGAGGCGGTAATGTAATCGTTAGCTAAAACGAGTAGAGAAGCTAAAGTCGGGTGTCCCTACTTTGAAATACTCTGTACATATGTATGTGTAGAATAATTATAGAAATTTAAAATATTAAGAGAATTTAAAAAAAATTAACCCCCTTGGTATTTGAACTCACGTAAAAGGAGTAATTAGACATTTACATAGAAATTGTGTCTATATGAGTGTATGCATGTCTATGCGTGTCTATTCGTGTCTGTGTGAACATGTATGCATAACAATGTGGAAACAAAGCATCATCAACAACAACAGCTGCGAGCAGCGCTTGGCCAAGTATTATACTTATGTATGGCTATAACTTCCTGTTAAATCGGCATATCATAATGAAACTTGGCATACGATATTTAGTTTTAGAAAATCACGAATTTGCTGTTGTGGGGAAATTCCAAAACACACATTTTCTGCGTATTCACATAGTGTATCTTGGACTAAAATTGGTGTCCCTAGCTCTAATAGTCTCTGAGATCCAGGTGTTCATACGGACAGACAGACGAACGGACAGACAGACAGGGGACATTTTATGTAGAGTATAAGAAGATGAAACATAATGGTGATTTAGTTGTATTAAAATATATATTTGAATTAATGAAAAGCCCAGCAAGTAATCTAAAAAGACATGCTCTGCTAGGGACCCCAATTAAAAAATTATGACTATAAATTATAATTATAATTTGATAACAATTTGTCTAAATATTTGGGTATGTCTGTGAGTCTGAAGCTACCTGTACCAACCTAACAAAACCTATGTATATGTAATGGTTCAGACTTGAAAAAACGCTTAGCTGATAAGTCGTAATTATACTCACTAAGCCACACTTTTCCGGAGACAATCTCACTCGGCATTTGATGTGTTATTGTGAAATTGTTATAAATTAAAATAATAACCACTGCACTAATTGTAAGCAATGCAAATTAATAAGAAAGAAATAATTTGAAGAGCACAAAAGCAATATGACGATTTAAGCCTAAAAGCAAGTCTCGTATTTTAAAAGTCACAAAACTGTTCGAAAACTTGATGGTAAATGAGTAACAACAGTATACTTATATGAGCGCACGCACCTCTGACTATCATTTTACATAACTCAGATTTGGGTTGAATTAAAATTAGCAATTTTTGTAGTTAAAAGCGCCACAGGACGCAAAGGTCGCAAAGCAAAATTGGGCTTCCTTCGCTTAAAAGTTATAAATTCTGTGCATACGGGTATATATACAAGTATGTATGTACCCGCCTTCACGCATCGCCGGCCGTTGGGAAAGGTTGGAATAAAGTTGGATACCATAAACAATACACCTTTATGTGTCTATGCCGTGACAACCTGCAACCTTTTGGATTATTAAAATCCTAATGAAGGTCATATAATAACGGCAGTGAAGACAAAAAGTGAAAAGCAACAACAGCATATTCTGTAATGGACGAATAGCTTACGAGCTGGCTAAATCGGAGTCTATATGCTCTATAAATAAAAACACAAATCTTCTGGAAATGAGAATAAGTTGATAACCGTTTTTTTTTTCATGTTGTCATAAATAATTTCCCATTTAAAAAAACGTTTATCAGTCACATCTACCTATAATTTATGAACAAATAATTATATAAAATTCTGCTGGCTACTGAAAGAGTGCAGACTTGAAAGGAAAAGAAAGTGTAACCAAATTTTAATGGGAGAGCAAAAACAAACAATACGACAACTCAAATAGGCAACGAGTAAACCTTTATTTATGCACAGAGCGGAAGAAGAAGGACAAACAAAAGGACATGTATACTTAAAAAATAAGGCCAAGAGGAAAAGTCGAAAAATTGGTATGGACATCTCACCTCAGTTCGTTCGTTGGCTGGCTGGCTCGTTGGCTCGTTGGTTAGCGGCTTCGAGCCTTGCTGATTTTTATGTGCTCCAAAAGCAGCCTTTTCCTTTTATGACACAATGCGAGATCCCGTCTCGAAATCGAAAATTCACTCAGCGCAGACATTTCGTGCATGTTAAGTGCGGGCATAAAGTATAAAAAAAAACTCATAATGGCGCATTCATTTGTACGGACACGGGAAGTCCAAAACTGTTGCGTCACCTCTTGTCTGGGGCACAACATTCCGTATGAATAATCTGCAAATTTTACTATGGACGGCATCCTTTTTGTTGCTGCCTCTGTGCTTACGACTCTGTCTGGGAGCTCTTGCCTGACGGTGCGTTGACAGTGCGGGATTTGTGTTTTATTTATTTCGTTTTTATTGCCGTCTTTAGTGGCCCACGCACAAAAACTTTTGATTAAAACACTCGACCAGGACAAGAGAAGACAACTAAGAGAAAAAAAAATACGACGGAAACGCAAAGAAAATGTCGCCTTATCCTAATTGGGTATCAATGCGCTTGAATCAACAGTGAGACGCAAGTTTTCGCCACCATTCAGGCAACATTTTATTGCATGCTTTTCAGCGCACGTTTCGTCTCTTCCTGCCACAAAGTTTGTCGCGCTCGCTTTCCTGGCCCGAACTTTAGGCTCAAGTTGGCGAGCGGCGAGCCGCGGAAAAGCCTCCATGCCTGCTTTGTGGGTCTGCCATTTTCCTGCACTTTTCGTTTTGAATTATTCTCCGGCGAGCTTCGAAATAGCAACAACAGTTTCAGGTCTCACCTAGACGACAAAATTCCATTGTCTGCTGTTTGTGTGTTGGTATGTGTGTGAGTGTATATATATGAGTGTGCATGTACGTGTACTCGCTGGTTAACTTTGTTTGCAACGAGCGCATGGCAGACAATCTTCTTTCGTCCTCACGGGCGGGCAAGAGGAAATCCGCTTTCGTTAGTTTTCGTCCACAAATTGTTGAAATTAGTTTTCAGCGCGAACTGATAAGTACTTGACACCGAGTTGCACATTTCCAGGAATTGTTAGCGCGAAAATTGAAATTAATTTAAGCAAGTTGTTAGAACTTCGTCAATCGCAGTTTTAGCGAACGTTTATGTCTCGAATTCTGAAACTTTTTCTACGTATTAACAGCCACCACAGTGTATTTAATTGTCAAATTTAAAATCAAGGTATTTCTATTGGGCTTACCTTTTTATTTTCAAACTGAGAAACTTTCAATTTTCAACTTTACCAATAAGTAGGGTCTTCTTATGCTTTTAAATTATCTGTAAATTAGTTTGGCAAACCAGTGTGGATCTATGGTTGTCGGCTATGGAGAAATCCATGTGGACATTATTTAACGCGCCCAATATAAAATGCTCAAAATCATTACTTAAGGTCAACGCAAATATTTTGGAAAGCTTGTGCTGATCCAAACTTCTCTTTGCAAGCAACGCAATCAAGACTCAGATAAAATAGCCCATTATCTGATCTAGCGGCCGCTAAACCGCATTGGAAGATGATCGGGGAATGTTCACAAGAATTTTCTACAATATTTGTAAACTAAGTGCGAGTCTCATAAAGAGATGAAACAATAAACAATATACAAAAGTTATATTGTTATATTTAATGGAAATATGTGAGTTTATGTTTATAGGGCAGAGCAGTATAACATTTCGGACGATAACTTCCTTTGAAGTTGGGTCATTAAGCTAAGACGTGGCGATTTGGTAAAAACGTTATATAAATTCCAACAGTTTCAGGAGTTATCGTAAGATGCCTCTAGAAGTGTATCAGGAAAATGTCATATATATCCCCTTTAAGAAAAACTTTGTTAGATTGTTACAAAAGTATATAATTATTCAGTTATATACTTTTATTAGAAATTCTAGATAAATAATAGTAATCGAAATGGTTTTGTTCTGGGAATACACTCAATAAACGCGATCCGGCGGTATAAAATTTATCATATATCTTACGGAATCTTGTGTAAGACTTCAAGGACGAAATATATTAGGTGTGTCTGAAACAAACAAAATGTATATTCTCGAAATAGTTCTAACAAATGCCAAAAGGAAAAGCATATCAAGAAGAAATAATACCTTATTTGATAGCGAAAGAGTAATAATATTATAATTGTGGGAATTTTTGATCTCAAGGTAGGCTGCAAATTAAAAAATTAAGTTTGAAGCTTGTCTCTTGCAATAAAGTAACTTTATGATGAATTTTGAATTTTTTTTTACTTTGGACATTACACATTTTTTTATTGTACACTATAATTAATTACAACGCTTTTTATTCAATATAATTGATTTTGAGGTTCCACTTAATTTAAATTCAATGGATATTTATTCAAAAATTTAATTGTCAGAGGGCACCTAAAATCGTGTTTATTAATCAAAACATAAATAAATAATATTAAATGAAAATGTGAGCCAAAGCAAATAAGTTGACTGAGCACAAGCCGTAACTGACAGCTAGCGTGTTAACTAGACCAGAAGGAAAACAGGTGGTTGGTATAAGGCCAGACAGCGTATACGCAATATTGTGTATACACAGACCAACGCCAACTGACGGCAAAACGGGCAACAGACATATATACAAGTATGTACATATATACTTGTACTACAATGCGCAAAAGAAATCAACGCAAATTGCTGCCACATGCCCAAATTTGTTGTCGTTGTCTCTACGTGGCGTCTTTTCTGTCCAGTCTCGGATTTAGTTCATGAGCGTCCTGTATTGATTTTCTTTATGTTCTTTTTTGAGACTGATGCCATAATCACCCGCACGCATGTTGGCCTGCAACATATTTTCTTATTAAATTTGACGCTGTCTATTCGCAGCACGTGGCTTTGGCATGCGAGTTGTGGGCGGCAAGACGGGCGCCGATGGTCGCCTTTTTGCCTACATTGTTTGGACCGTGCCTGGCGGATCTGCTGAGAAGAATGGCCTGCAGCAGGGCGACAAGGTGAGTATCAATTTGTAACGCATCTTTTTCTATTTCAAATCAACTCTGGGCATTTATGTATTAAGCATTCAAATGGATTTGTTAGCTAAATCTGATGTGCATAATTTAAAATATTACAAATTTTTTACTATTACACTGACCTCGACTCATATTTAAAACTGTTCGAATTCCTATTTATTACTTATGCTTTCTCTTGATGGTTGTACTAAAGATAATTAACAATAGCTAACAAATTTATAATGTCATGTCCGTTGATACCGTATATGAGTTCCAATGAGGCCAATGTTTATTGCACCGATCATTCCTATGACTGCTATATGATATGGTAATTCGATTTTAATGTAATATCATGAGGCACAATACGAAAATCATATATGCTTACCCAATTTGCATGACGAATTTTGATAAGCCTGAAATCTAGCCTACTAACGTATTCTTTCATAAAATTGTGCCAGCTATATAAAATAATATGATTTGTAATAAACTTGTTTGGAGTACACATACACATACAACATACAAGTTTGTAACTAGATAGTTCCACAACTATGGATTCCTTAGACATACCATTTGGTATTAATAGTTGTTTCAATATTGGGCATTGGTGTCGCAAAAATGAAATCAGTTGGCATTCAAATTGGAATAATATTTTAAGATTTTGAAACTTAAGAAAATATGAAGAATATGAAATATGAATATACTTATTTATTTAGCCTGATGTTTTGGACTTAAGGATTAAAGGTTTGCTTTCACACTGCATTTCGTTCTTAAATTTCCTGCAGATACTTGAGTGGAATGGTATGTCGCTCATTGATCGCAGCTTCGAAGAAGTCTGCTCCATTATGGATCGCACTGGGGACATGGTTGAACTGCTAGTCGAGCATGCAACCGATTTTCGCATGTGCGACTTATTTGATGAGAATCTACCACCTGGTAATAGTGGCGGCCAAAGTGGACCGAGGCGGTCAGGTGATGGACCCGTCGGACTGGGTCTCATAGCGGGTAAGTGTCCTTTGCTTACATATTTTTATTGCATATACCCATTGTTATAGTCCATAAGAAGTATTTACCTAATGGCTGCTACCCAAAAAATGTTTATATACATATATAATTATATCATATTGATGTGCCCAATGCCGATATTTTCATGATAATTTTCATTTGTTGTTCTCGTTTTTTGCTCTTTCTTTTTAAAATATATATTGTCAAAAAAAAATAAAAAAAAAAAAAACAAATCACAACCAAAAACACTCTTCCATTCAAGCAGAACCTGAAACCACTACAGACAAATCACCAGCATCGCCAACTAGACGGAAACTACCAAAAACTCCGGTATAAAATTCTTTCGATTTGTTTATTAAAAATATTGAAAAAGATAGAACAAATGCAACAAAAAATACACAACAAACTAGAAGTAATCAATCAAAAATCGATGCTTGCAAACAAAGGTTGATACAGTCAAAAGGTTGAAAAGTGAACATGAATAAGCCCAGCTAATATATCTATATCTACCTTTTAAATGCATATTTATATATTCATATACATATATTTACATATATAATGTAGTCGAATACATACACGCAATTAAGCAAAGCTATGTGCAGCAAACAAAAAGTACCTAGAAAATGCAGCTTAAGCAATTGCAGTTTTTCACATAATTTTCAGCTTTTTATTGAGTGCTCGCAAAAAAGACAAAAAAAAAAAAACAAAAATGAAATAAAAATGCTAATTTTTTCATACATTTTTGCAGCTTCTCTGCCTTGAAACCAACCTCCTCTTCACCTTTTTTCCGATTACTTATGTACCTACACTACATTTTTAATATAATTATGTTTTTCTTTCTTGTCTCTATTTTTGATAAATAACAATTTTGTCTCGTAGTAGCTAAATATTGAAACATTCAGGGAAATATATTTGGCATTTGATACTATTGGGTTTTGTTATTATTATTATACGATTAAATACGATTTCATTGATTATTCTTGATTTCCATGATTCGCATTATGCCCACAAACTATTTACTTTCACGTACTACTAACCATAAACGATGACTCAATGTGTTTTTGCTATTTTGTCATAATCACAAATGTATTTATTTTTCGGTGTTGGTAGAACTTAGTGATTACAAACTAATTATATCGTATATACAACATAATACTTACATATTAGTAGAGTATACATACCACATATATACATACGCGTATATACTTGTACGTATAAATGTTCAAGCAAGCGTTTCTAACATTATGAAAAATAACAAAAAATAACAGAAAATAACAACTACTTACTAGTCAGAGAGAGAGAGGCGCTAAAATATACATAATTCTGCTCAAGACACATAAACAGAATAATGCGTTATTTAGTTACATGTCTGTTTTGTGTTAACTAGTTTAACTTTTCCCTGGGTAATCAAATTATCCAGAAACACAGTAAGAACAAAGCACCAAACAATACAGTTGTAAGGTAACAGTTTTAAGCCGCATTGCTTGACAATTTGGCTGTTTTAAATTACTTAGTAGGCGTTACTGCATAACAGTGAAATAGTATCTTACGAATATACTTACACTACTTGTATATTCAACATCACTATTCAATAATAATAATAGCGTAACAATAACCAGAATTTGTAAGTACGGTGCAGCAAACTACTTGCTTAGTGGCAGTGGCACGAAGCCAGTCACCACAGAGAGAAACGAATTTTAAATTCTAATCGATGCGCTCCGGCGCATCTACGAAGCGATACAATAAACCAAAAATACTTAGTACTACATGCCTAGAGTGGATCGAACCAGCGTAATCCAATAAACGAGATAAGCTGCGGGTGCATTTTACTTGACAGCCACGCTACATACACACATAGTATATAAATATATATACAAGTACATGTACACATGCAGACATTATATATGTACTCTACATATACTATATATACCTATATATATGTGTGTATGTATGTATATAATAGTTATTGCTTACTCCTACACAAGCGTTTAACAGATAATCAGTAAAAACCAAATACTTGTATATGTGTATGTTATTAGTGCATATACTATTAGCGAACAGAGTTTAAAAATGTGTGTGTTTTAAATGTTATTATATTTATAATATAGTGAGCACAACAAAAAGTATTTATAATAGTATTACATTAATTGATTAATAGAATGTTGTTGCAATGTTTAAAGCTGACCAAAGCTAACCCCGAAAACAGAAACTGAAACCAAAACCAAAACCAAAACCAAAAACCATAATCAAATCCAAAACCGAGACCTACTCGTAATTTCTTGATGTGCATTCACAAATGCAAGTACAAAACAAAACATGTACGTTATCCTAGATCCATACATATATTTACATATATATTTATATGTATATATCAGTTATATTTATAATCACCCACATACATACTACATAGTACGTTATATTGTATTTGTGTATATGTGTGTTATTGTTAGTGATGTGTTTTTAAATGTTTAAACATTGAGAGTTTTAGTTTTGTGAAAGCGCAAAAATATATTTCTAAAGTGTAGTGGAGCCCACCTATGAATGAAACAATAACGAAGTGCTAAAACAAAGAGAATCATTTTTGAATAAACCAAAAAACCAAAAGCAAAACCAAACTGATCTTACTCGTACTAACCATAGCTATCGTACTTAGCACTTAGCTGTGTAACTCCTGTCAGATGGGTGATAACATTTGTCTTTGATTTCGTATTAACACTTTTTATATACATACTAGTTTATACATGTATAGCGTTGTACCCTCAATTTTCTATCTACACCCTCTTGAAAAGGAAAAGTTGCGATGCAACCAATACTGCAATAATAATAATAATAATAATACTAATTACACTATAAAAAATGGAATTAAAAATAATTGCAGAGAACCATGATAACTGATGACTGTAACATTTGTAGAGCAAGTTGTTGCAAAGTTTTTTAATGAAAAGAAAAACGCTACTAAATGCAAAAAGGCCATTGTTCGTATTTGAATCTGAATCTGTATCTGAAAATAAATTTGATTGTGAAACTGAGTGTGTGAATATGTAGTTGAAAACGACTTCGGCAAAGGCTTGTAATTAAATGTAAGTGAAGTCAGAAGTCAGATGCGTTATATATATACACTCTTATATCTACGCGTATATATGTAGTATATACATTTACAATTTCTGCGCTATATAAATACTTATACATAGCTCTATATACACTGAAAGCTTAGCTATTAGTCCAATTGTAAAACGAAAAGAAACAAATTAAAATGGCATTAATGAGTATACCACTGTATTAAGTTTAAAAGTCTATCTATCAGCAAAAAACAAAACAAAAACCTGAAAATAAAGTCTCTCTATTTGATTGCAAAAAACAAAAAAAATAAAATAAAATTGAGTGGCCTACTTAGCTTAATCATTCCGTACAGCAGCCAGCCAGCCAAGGCCGTAGCCAAGTCGACAGCAAATCCAGCTAATCCCGTTCTCTATCTGTTTCTCATTTACGCACCAGCACCTGATGACACCGAGCAAACGGTAATTGAACAAAGCAACTCTATTCCACATTTAATGTAATTAAACCATCCTATCTACATATGTACTCGTATATGTGCCTACATACCCAAATACAAATACAACTATCAACTGTACAGTCTTAGCACAATTACGCCCGCTAGCAAATTTCCCAAAACCAAAAACCAAAACCAAAACCAAACCAAACCAAACCGAGCCAAACCTTACCTAATCAGTGTAATATAGCAAGGTTCTATAAGTTATACTATATTGTAATGCAAGAAACAACAAACATGTAATGTAAAATACGCTCCCCATTTTGATTTCGTTTGGTAATATTTAGTTCCTTTTCTTCACTATTTCTATTCTATGAAGTAATATGATAAGCTTTATGCTTAGTGTGTGTTTAATGTTTTGTTGTGCGTATACTCTATACCCAGGGAATATATGATGTACATATACCATCCTATTATGCTTAATTCAGATGTTGTTATGAATCGATATTTGCAAAATGTTAATTCTTCGAAAACAACTTTTAAGGTTTTTATAAATGTTCCAAAAAGTTATATTTGTCGAGTCCGTATGTAAATTGTGAACTTGGGCCAAACCACTTGTAGAACCATAATTGGGATATTGTTGTTATTTTAAAATTAGTTTAATCAAATCAACCAATAAAAAAAAATTTAAGCTATTTTTATGTGTATTAATTGCACTGTTTCTCTAACAGACTTTAACTAGATTTAATTTGAAACGTGAATAGAGGTTCCAAAGAACAACAACAAGCAATCCAAGAAATTGTTTTATGAAGAAAGTAGTAAATTATTTAAGTAATTTAGTGGGAATATTAATTCAACTGAGTGCAGGGTATTGAAACAGTTGGGCTCGCCCGACTTAAGCATTCTAACTTATTTTCTTAACTTGTTTGTATTATTTTTCGCTATTTTATTATTTGTCAGATACAAATCCTCAAACTAGTATTGCATTTTACACCTTTTTGTAACTCTCTGTCTGGTCGCATAAACAAAATCAATAACCCTGTACTATACTACTTACACTAACTTGTATAATACCTTTTAATGCTTCTTGTTCCAACCTAACTCATTTTTCTTGACAAAAACATATTTGAATATACAAACTATATTTAAGTAATATTCCATAGGATCTGATATACATACTCGTATTTTTGTAAATGACAGCTCGTTACACTTTACACATCTCTTGTCCACAATGTTTCTTAATGGAAATTGTATGTAGAATGGTAATTCATGATTCAACAAAAATAGAACCTGTTAGTAAACATTGGGCAGGCATAGATGAAATAATTCAGTACAGAAATACACAACACAAACAATTTGAAATGCAAAGCCATTAGTTATGATTTAATTAATTAACTTGTCATTTTTGTTTATTGTGTTTTGTATTTTATTTAAAGTTTATTTTATGAATTTTGGTACTCTAATGCATTTTGCTTGATTTAAATATTCCTCATGCTAAGCCTACAAATTTATTTACTAGCATTTAGTGGATCTTTAACTAACTAACTAAAATCGAAAAGCAACTTGCAACTAAAACACTGATATTTATCAATAATATTTACAAACCAAAAACTATGCTAATTGTATATGAAGTAAATTTTCATTTAATACAACAAATGTAACCCCAGCTGGCACGAGTTATGGCTATTAGCAAATATTTGTAACTGCAACGAAATGCAAAGCAACAAAAATGAGAAAAACAAATCGAATCACCAAGCCTCCCAGACCCACAGAGAGAAACCCTCGACAAAAATTCGTTTAATTTTTGAACGAGACGAAAACAAAACCAATGATATGTTACTAAATTATAAAAGAAACATGACAAGTTGAAAGCTGATTTATGATTGATGATTAATTGATTGACTTATAAAATATGCTACTTTTTATCCGAATCGTTGATTGATTTATTATGTGTGTACATAATTAGTTTTTCTGACATATATATGCATTTGACTTTTGACATAATGAATTGAATTTTACTGCGACATTGTGCGATGCGTAAATTTCTCTCTCATACTCGTACTCTGTATGTAGCTTGTTAAAAACGATCCAGACCGTAGGACTGGAATGCTGTTATGGTAAACACATTGAAGTACTACTAATAATCAATGATAGCGCCCGGATGATAGACTCTCAAATATATTTATTTATTTATATGTAGCTGAAACCGTTCTTGTTAATATTTAATATCATATCACTAGCTGGTGTTGTATGCCTGCGTTCATGTTGCGTATACGCAGCTTAGCACGTTATAAGATGTTCCTAAGCCACACCACCATCACACGTTATGTAAATACTTATATGTAACACGCAACTAATCTCGTCTCTTATGTACATATTACATAAATGTAAGTGTATGTTAGTATGTGTTGTACTTGTGTGTGAATACCGCACCATTTTGCCGTCATTTCCATTCAAAGTTTATTATTCATACGCACCGTAGCCGCAAAACTTTCTTTTGACAATTTTCGTTACTTACGCACAAACAACATCCACGCTCATCCAAAACCACGAAAAATAAAAAACCACGAGCGAAGGGTTTACATTGCTTTACTTTATACTATACAGAAACTTATCCGCCAGCGGTTGTTGAAAAACTTTTCTGAGGCGGGCATCAAATGCGCGAATTCATCACTCACAGACACACTCATATACACCCACATATACACAGATATAGAGAGACAGGTGTCAGGTTGGCGTTACGCCAATGGCAGTTACTTTGTCGAATTGCCAACAGTAGACTTTTGCTTTTGTCTTACACTCGCATAGGCCCGCGCGCGCTCGTTCTTTGGCAACAGGTGCTGTCGCCCTTAATTGGCAGTTGGCAGTTGGCAGCTGGCAGCCATCAAATATTTAAAGTAAAAGTAGGAAGCAAAAGTCTTAACAACTTGAGCGACTCTTCAGAGAGACAATTTAAAGGTTTCAACAATTTCGATTTGATACTATATTCTGAAAAGCTCGATATGAGCACCTGTACTGCTTCAATCTGATGTGCAACAGTTTGACTGACACTGCCAACATCTGTCGGTTAATGAGCATATATGTACTATATCTGTGTGTATCTGTATATTGGCCTGTACATGTACAATTTCCGTTGGCATATGCTATTGCAAAATGGCGGCTTCCGATGCACACAGACAGCAGGACAGCCAAAAAGTCGTTCTGTGGCAGGTTGTTATTATTATCGTTGTTGTTGCGCCATGAGAATATATATGTAGTATGTGCATGCCACATGCTATGAATATGTTATGAATCTGCGCTGTTTTCGCCACACACGTACAATAAACGCAATACTACTCATAGTTTCCAGCCAGTCGCAACTACACTGACTCTCATCTGCAGCCATGGCTTCCGTTCCAAAACACAAAACACTAGACTGCGCCCCCAGCGACGCTGCTATGATAGCCACAATAGATTACATACTATATAAGATTACAGTAGACATTGCTAAAAGAAACTCCAAAGGTCGTAACTTTTGCTAGAACTAAATTCATTATTATTATCAGTAGTTTGTTGAATATAGCTCAGACTCTTTGTATAAAAGGTATTTAACTAAAACTTGATGAAAGGAATAAATAAAACAAGCTAAGCATACATTTAAGTTTGAGCTTATCTCTGCGTTAATTTCTCTTAAATAATCATTCTCAAAATATTTTGGTTTTCACAAGAAAATGGGTTCACTTTTCTTAGCCAAAATATTTCGAACATTTGAGCAATTGCTTTAGCACCTCAAATGAGATTTGAGCACAAATCATGCGATAAATAAATTGAAAAGCTTTTAATTATTGTTGATTACTAAATGGCAGAACTTGAAGTATGGAACTGTTTGTAGAGATAAAAGTAAACACCCATGAGAGAAAGTATCGGGCAAAGGAAAATTGAATTTTGGGTATTTAATAACACTATTTAGTCAAGTTTTTTGTTCTTTCGTTCGTTTATTCTTATATGCAACAAATATTTGGTCGGAGTTTCATTTCAGCAATATCCACTGTACTCCTTTGTGTGCGGGTAAAATATTTTATGAGCCCCTGCGAGTGTAGGCATTGCCAGTATTTATGTATCTGCACATCTTCATGCTCGATTATTTAAGCAGCACATATGTGTTTGTGTATAGCAGTGTATATGTACATAGGTATAGGTAGAATATAGTAGTACTTGTACATACGTAATGCATTGTGCGTTGTTTTCAATGCGACTACTGGGGGGTATGAAATGCATTTTGTTTTCATGCTCGTATTCCTTTATCATTGGTCTTTTTCTTGTTTAATTACTTTTATTTTTGCTTTTAATTGCCTTTATATTTGTTGTTGAGTAAACATTTATTTACGTACACAGCTACAATATATACCCACATACACACACACACACACCCACTCACATACTCACACACACACAAAATACCCAGAGCATTGCATACAATGAAAGATAAATGAATAAGAACCGCCGATCAATTAAATTCCTGTATATAGTCGAGATATTTGATTGGCGCGCGAGTGTCACATTTGAATGGCTATAGGCTGAACTGTAGAAAAGTATTAATAGTACATGCTGTTGTACATATGCAGTACGAAGAGCAATTGCTACGCCCAACATCTGCAGAACTCTCAGTGTGAAAGTACTAATATAGTTTTCACCTACAGGAGCAAATCGCACGCGAGAAAATGGTCACCGGGCGAGTGCAGATACAGGTCTGGTATCATGCCGAACGCCAGGAACTTGTGGTTTCACTTATGGCTGCCGATGACCTGGCGCTGCGAGATGAAGCGTACGGCCACGGTAACATGCCCGAGGCATATGCCAAAGTTCGGATTCTGCCCAAGTGGTAAGTCGCATAAGGAACTATTGTGAAATCCATATTTATTTCATTAAATACAAGGGGGGGCTCTCATCCACCCACAATCGACTAAATTATATTACAGATAATTTAAGAGATACTTTTTCAGATTTATAGCTATAAATACCTCAATGAATTAAAATGACTTTTTAAAATGATTGATTTGCGTACATTTAAAATGTTTAGGTATTTTGTAAATGATTTTAGTATCTTTAAGACCTCATTTATCGGTACGATTTAAATGCAAAAAGAGCTCCAGTTTTCGTTAACAATTGAATATTATTTATATTTCGGTGCATTACAGTGGTGATGGGACCGTGCAACAAACCGAGGTCAGCCGACCCACACAGAATCCTATTTGGAATGCCACACTAACTTTTTCGCATGTCAAGGCCGACAGCTTGATGGATCGCTATATCGATATACAGCTGTGGGATCTGGTGCCGCACACCGAATCCATTTTCTTGGGCGAATGCAACATCGAGTTGCAGCAGGCTTTTCTCGACGATCAAGCCATTTGGTGTCGGCTGGAGGATCCAAAAGGCCTGCGGGGCATCAGCATCAGTAAATCGCCCAGTGTGTCCCCACGTGGTTCCATTGCAGCGGGTGCCGGGGCGCCTTGTGGGGATGTGACTCGCTTGCTACGACGCGACTATAATATGCAGCGCTCCATCTCGGATGATGTTGACTCCATTGGCGATGGTGCCTCACTGCTGCATCCGGATACTGCTTGGATAGCCGGCTCGCGGCGAGGCTCATCACAATCGGAGACCATGGAGGTGGAGGTCTATCAGCTTGGCAAGGACTTCTCGCGCTCATTGCCGGGCTCGCGTCGTTCAAGTTTTCAGGATGCCGAAAAGAATCGGCTGGAGGAGGATGCCATAGCCACGCCGCCCACATCGTATCTTGTGGGCCGGCGTCGCTCGTCGGTGGCACGACGCGATCCGGATGAGATCTTGAAATCCTTGAAGGCTGTGCGCGGCGAGTTGGGACGCACCATGAGCCTGGGCACGGAACAGCACAAGCGCATGGGCTCGCGACGTAAGTACTAGAACTGATTGGGGCATATATTTTTGATTGGGTTTCACAGCTTGGGAAGGGAATGCTGCCTGGATGTAACTATCTCTTATGATTTCGCAATACTCTGCAACTAAATCTAATACTTTGAATGCTAACTAGCAAGTGCTACTATCCCTCATTCTCTATATCTCTCTATCTCTGCCTTCCTAAGTCTCTTTCTGTATAAATAAGGAGAAAACAGGAAGGAGCCCTGATAAATTCATAAGTCTTCCTTTTCACTATCTGCCAATCTCTCTTTCTCTCTTTTTTTTTTACCAAATTGCACACTTTAATCCATTGCCTTGTATATGTAACTTCCTCTAAATGGCAACTCTCTCAACCCTATGCATTGGCTCTATTTATATATCTGTCTTTCTATTTTCTTTTGCTCTCCCATCTCTCTTGTACTATTAGCTACAATATCGGTGTCGCATTATCAAAGCTTTGACACTCCATACACTCCAAACTGGACAACAAACAAGAAATAAATTTCAATTTATTAAATCACAGTACATTTTGTAAAGCAAAACGGTTGCGATAAATAAAGCACTAACAAACCTTAACAATAATTACAACCGCATCCACTATAACTACTACTAAAACGATTGATTAAATGTTAAAGCACCCGCCAGTCACCTTTGCTTAAATGAGAAGCTCAACTCCAACCCACTTTGCACAGCTCAAAAAACAATAACCAACCATAGCAAAACAATGTAAATTATACAGATCTACTTACCCTTCACAATTGCAAATTGAGCTCACAAGCCAACAAATACAAATATGTACTTAAAGCAATATTTGAAATAAAATTGCAAAGAATTATTGCATAATCGAACATACAAGTACAATAGAATTTTACACACAATCCTCACTGGTAAGAATGCAAGAAAAAATAATTTTGCGTTTCAGTTTATGTTCATTTTGGGTTTCTTTTTCGTCTGCCTGAAGAATGCATTTTATTTGCTTTGCTGGTTTAGAGATTAGGCTGCGCCTAACACACATTTTAGCTGCATGTTTCTCAATTAATAGACACTTTAACACTCGCACAGGACACTCTGCCAGAAACTGCTCTACCATCTCTGAGTAAGCCGAATATATTAATCACGCTCTAATGCATCGGCCATAAGCCAAGCCAGCCATGGAGGCTTCTCCCAGAAGCCAGGCTAAGCCCCAGTGCCCAAAACAGAAGACAACTTCTTACGCACGGCCCAGCATTGACTGAGCTTATTACCAGCTTATTAAAGCTATTCGCCCAAGTCAAAAAGAAAAACGCTGTTTTAAATGCAAAACACACCCACACGAGGGTAGTCCTAAAAAAACAATTTTATAATATATTTTTATAGAGTCGTATTCGATTTAAACAATTGAAAGTCATAATTTTTATAATTTTATTATTTTTTATTTTTCGATATGGTTCAATTTTAGCTCAATAAAAAAATGTATGTCTCCCCGATATTTATTTGAAAGCCTGGTGTTTTAACAATAAATATGTTTTAGGGTTCAATTGTGATTAAAACAATGCAGAGAGATTAAAACAGTTGAGAATTCTAAACGAATATTACAATCAAGCATGAAACAACATAGTTATTGTTCCATCTATTTCCAAGTTGGCATTTTAATTTCTTTCCTTCTTGCTTTTTTATAACAACAAATGTTTGATAACTCCAATTTATTTTTCCATTGCTAGAGGAGTTTTGAGAAAAAATGATTGCTATAATTTGATAAATATCAACATAACTTTGCAGCGTGTGTGGAAAAAGTTTGTAATATTTTTATGTTTTGCAAATACTTTTTGAGCCATCCTCGTTGCTTGGTCAAGTCATTTGGTCAAGTTTGAAAACAGGGAAACCGAGTCTGCCGATGTGATTCGTGAAGACAGAACTCGAACGTTAATGAATTGATGTTGGCCAAAGCATCAATAAATGAGTGAACAAATTTTATTTTTAACCAGAGGCGAATCCGTAGTTTTCTTAGTTCGCATAGGACCCGCCACTATTCACTTCGGAAGACAATCACAGAAATTATTTTCATACTCATCCCAACAACTCACAACACGATATTTAATTGTCTTGACTCTTCACTCATTCCAATTGTAAAGTTATTCATTTTTCATTCATTTGAGTTATGGACTGACATAACTGTCAACGTTATGTACCAACACGAAGACTATGCCTTTTTCTATAAACTTATTTGCACCCTTGACTATAACATTTTGTCCAAGGTTTAAGTCTAAGTATATACAATGTACTTAGGGCAGCTGTTGGCATCTGTTCTAGGTCACCAGCTTTAGTTTCCACAAAAAAAAAAAAAAAAAAAAGGCAAAGCTCTACCTCCACTTTGAGACCGGTTAAATTTTAAACTATTACCGACTTCTATAGTAGAACCAAAACCAGTTGCAACAATGAGGCCTGGTTGCAAAGAAAAAGATTTTGTAAAGCTCTTGCGAATATCTCTATAATTTGTATTTATCTCTAAATGTTCATAGTTAATGAATATGATGTAAAGGTGCTCTTGGAAGCTCTTTATGTCGGCTAAAATAAAAGTGCTGTTCTGTATTCCCATGTTATTGAAAGTTGCCGACGAAGAAAGAATTTATCAGTTTCTCCATGCTATTGAGAGTTGCCGAAGGAGTTACCCAAACTTGAAGCTTCATTTTTCTAAATCATTATTTTGGAGTACCTCTGAGACTACCCTCGATTACACACACATACGCGTATGCAAACGTGCCACGCCCTATTAGCGTGACAAGTTTTACCTGCCAGAGGAGCAGCTGGCTGCCAGTTATGAGCGCATAAACCCTTCAACGCCATTCAAGGCGAATGACAGCAAAGTAGCTCAACCTTGAAATTAACTTTAGAAGTGCCGCACAGCGCTGGGAGCTGGGAAATTCGACAACTCCCAAACAAGCGAAAAAGAATGAAAACAAGCAAGAAAAACAAAGCGAATTTTCATGAGCCACAAACAAGCCGTTAAATATGGAAATATGTGCAGCGTATTTTGGCAACTTTGCCACTGAAAAATGTTCCAGCTTGCACGCACATTTCCCCAAATCCCCCACCACCAATACACGCATATGTACAGATATATAGAGTGCTACAAGCTGAAGCTTATCGGGTAGAGGTTGACGTGCAAGCTGCACGACTCACATTGCGTCTGGCAGAATAAATCAACAGCTTTATTTGGTGCGCCGGCAGAGACGTCGACGTTGGCAGAGACGTCGACAGCAATGGCCGTTATCATTGCGCTTGTTCAGCAAGTTTTACTTTTGGTGCTTTGTGCGCTTTCTTTGACGGCTTTCAATATGTTTTGCCTTAGCTGTATGCTTCGTTTTGCAGTTATTATTAAGCCGCTTAGCAATTTCTTTTGCCTTTCCCCCTTCGTTCCCATGCCTGCCTCTTGTTGCCGGCTTCGAGCTCTATTTTCGTTCGACTCTCTCTGTATCCTGTCTGTCTGTCTGTCCGTCTGTCTGTCTGTCTAGTGTGTGCCCAAGCACAACTTTGTGCTCGTTTTATTTTTTTACGCACGTCATATCCGACCCTCGTCCCTTTTGTGGCGCTCCTACGCACACACACACACCTACGCGTGTGCAAAATATTACACATCCACACATATACACATATGTCGCCTGCCAAGTTTATTTGACATTTATTTTATTTGCTTGCCTCAACTTTTGCTGCTGCCGAATACGTATACTTGTATAAGTATATCTGAACTTTTGTCATAATCCTTTGCCTCATCGTCAAGCCCTTAACATTTTCATTACGCGCTGCTGCTGCTGCTGCTACTGCTGCTGTTGCTGTTGCTGTCGTTGCCATCACAAGTTCAATCGGTTGGATGATTGATTGACTGATTGGCCCGTTGAAAAAGTTTTAATGAAGCATGCCTGCCAAATAATTACGCACATTACGTATACGCCCCGTAGTGACGCATATTTTGTTGCGTGCTCGTTACAAGGGCAGTAGACACGAAAAAGCCATGCATACTGCAGACATAGGCATTTAAGTTATTTAGCCTGCATCTAATTCAAAATATAAATAGCATCACGAACATACCTCCTATATAGACCACAAATATATTGTACGTCATAAGACAGTGCGAGCAAATGAAGGCGCCAATCAATGTGCTGGCCACAATAACAGCCAATCGGGCGAACATGAATCCCAGGCAGACGGCTTTACCCCTGCAAGAAAATGCAATGATTAGTATAGAAACGATATAACGGACAATGACGTATTTTCATATACAATTTTACTCTTTTCTTTGATAAATTCAATTTCAGTTTTTTACGTTAATAAACAAAATCAAATCAACCAAACCAAAAAACAAAAGTCGAAATCGTAATTTTGTAAAAATATTAATATTAATTACATTATTAATATTATTAAAATATCAATTCCGAAATTAATTAATAATGTGACCATATAAAAGTGTCCATAGTCTGCTCAATAGTTTCTGTAACATTGATTCTTTCGTTAATACTTTCGTCTTAAATTTTATGAAAAACTAAATTATTATAAATTATATTATATAGTCATCATTTTTTTCCATTATTTGAGCCCTTATCTCCCCGATAACTAACTACAGATGACATCAAATTAAAATTTGGAGATATCAAAGTAGTATATTATAAAATAAAAATTAAACAATATATTTATTCTTTACATTTTTATATTTATTTGCTTCACCTCAAGCTGGCTACTTAAATAGAGCATAAAATTCGCAAAAAGAACGGCATATTAGTTTTCAGGTTCCCAGAGAAAGAGAACAATGCCAATGTTTATACACATGTAGATAGAATTGAAATTAAGCTATCGCTTAAGTGTGCTTGCGGGTATCGACAACCGATTAATATAACTTAAAACCTCTCGGATAAATCTTTATTCTGTTAAGTGTTTATATTTGTGCATTTACAAATTGCAGAGATTTCTCCATTTAATAAAATCTAAATTATTATTATAAATAAATTATATCTGCGATTATCA